AGGGCCCTGAGCTGGGGGCCTCTCCTTCAGAGGGTCGAGAGCCCGGGGATGCCATGCTGCCAGCCCTGGACAGGGAGGAGGCACCGCCAGCCTACTGGAGATGCTGGGCTGGCAGGGTGCGGTGCCAGCCCCACCCACCTGGTATAGAGTTCCTGCCCTGCAGGCTCAGGCCTCTGTGCTCCGTGTGGACGGGTTCACCACTGCAGTGGGAGCCAGGAGTCGACAGAAAACCCAGCCCTGCCCGGAGCCAGCAGAGAAGAAACCCTCAGGCAGCTGGGAACTAACGCGAGCCCCCCAGTTTCCTGGTAGGAGAAGCACAAAGCGAAAGGAGATGAGCCCTGTGACTCCCCCTCCGAGGAGAACGTCTTCCTGCCGTCCTAGCTCAGGGAGCTAGGCAGGAGGATAGTCTGGGGTGTTCCTGGGCTACACCTCGAGATTCCGCCTCAAAGCACCAAGGAAAGAAATAGAAGAAACCCAAAGTAGTGTCCGTCATTCTGTCTGTCCCTTCCTCGTGGAGAGGAGCCTGCTGTGCTCACGGCAGCTTGGAAGTCGCCTCTGCTGGCTGCTGTCTTCTGCTCAGGCTCCTGTCCCTCTGCTGTGAGCTGTGGGTCCCCTCCCCCAGCACGGGGCCGGCTCCCAGGACACCTTCGACACAGTAGCAGTGGACTGACCCGTCTTTTCAGTGGTCACCCGGGCCCCGCGGAGTGTCCTGAGTCCCCGACAGTTCCTCCTGCAGCCCTGCCTTCCTTTCCGGCCCGCCCCGGCCCTCAGCCACCCGCTTCTGCAAGGGAAGGGCCCCCTGCGCCCCTGCTCCGCCTTCCATCTCCAGGTGGCATGGAGCCCCTGCCCCAGGGGCTCTGATATCCCTGCTGGAGGACCGGAACAGTTCCACAGACCCCTGTGGGGATAGCCCACCCTGGGCCGTGCAGGTGCGTGGGTGCTCGACGTCTGGTTTTGTCTCCATTCTTGAGTTTGTTTTTAAGTTGAGACATCATGTGATTCCAAAGCTACCATGTCACTCATCCCATGAGTTACCACCTCTCCTCCTCGGTCCCCAGCACCTAAGAATCCTTTTCCTGCCTTTGGTTCTCCTGCTCTGGACATTTGCTGTCGTGGAGTCCCACACTGTGTGGCCTTTCACGTCTGGGTCTGTCGCCATGTTCAAGTCCCTCCACGCTGGGCCACTGCCTTTCATGGCTGAGCAGCACTCGGTGTGTTGTCCGCTCACCTGCAGCACTTGGTCATTGTGTGACCGCCATGGATGACAAGGTTCCCACGGGGATCTGTCCCTGTGGTTCTTGGGTCCATACCCAGGCGTGCAAGCGCAGGTGACCACGGTGTGCGGTCAGTGGGAGCTTCTGTTTCGGGGTACAGACAGGGTTGACTGTTGCCTGGGGAGTGAGGGGTGCTGGAGGCAAGGGGAGGGATCTGCCGTCTAGCCACCTGCCCTCTGCCCTTCCTGGAATGCCCTGGGTCCTCAACATCCGCAGTGCCCGACTGGCCCTGCAGCTCCCCTGAGGCCACCTTCTTAGCCGTGGCTCTGTGCAGGGAGGACCAGAGCCCTGTGTGCACCCCAGGCCCCCCACTTCCCTCCAAGACCGTGTGTCTGGTAACGTGCTCGCGCCGCCGGCTGGTTGCTGGGAAGCTGAATGAGCTCACGCTCAGGAAGGAGCGGTGCCGCCGCCGCCTCCCGCCTCCCGCCCTGCCCGGGCTGCATCGACTGCTCGTAGGGATCAGAGGTCTGGCCGCTGCCTGCCCAGCGGTTTACCGGCATCTCAGAAAGGAGAGCCAGAGAGGGCGCTCGCTTACGGGAAGCCACGCCGACTGCTGCCACGCTAGAGAGGTGGGCTGGGGCCTGCGCGTGGAGATCCACAGCACTGTGGCCCAGGCTGTGCACAGGACTTGTGAGCCACGGGGCGGGGCTTGTGGAGAGGCGGGGAGTGGGCAGGGCGGGCACTGGGGCCCAAACCATTGGGAACCTGGCTCTCCAGCTGCGAGCCTGCCAGAGGCTGGTCTGCACAGCCCTCCCTGGCCACTCCCACCACCCGGTCACCAGGTGTCTCAGCTCCTTGTGTCTGTCCCTCCATCCCATAGAGACGTCTGTGGTTGAGTAAAAACTCAACCCTGACCCTGTGGGACTTCCTAGTAGCCCAATATTTCTGCTGGACTGGGTTGCTAGGAGTCAGGCCCAGACACGGGCTGTTCTAACAGGAGTGTTTTATTTGTTTGGTGTTTTTGGTTTTTGGGTTGTTTTTTTTTTCTTGGTTTTTCGAGATAGGGTTTCTCTGTGTAGTTTTGGTGCCTGTTCTGGAACTCACTCGGTAGCCCAGGCTGGCCTCAAACTCACCAAGATTCGCCTGCCTCTGCCTTTGAAGTGCTGGGATCAAAGGCGTGCGCCACCCCCGGTGCTGTTTTCTGTTTTTATTTATTTCAGTTTTATGCACACATTTGTCTGTGTGAGGGTGTCGGATCCCCTGGAACTGGAGTTACAGACGGTTATGAACTGCAGTGTGGGTGCTGGGAATCGAACCTCTGAGCCTTCTCTCCAGCTCCTACTTTCTAAATTTTAAATAGTTTCTGGTGTTTTTTTTTTTTTTTTTTGTTTTTAAAACAGGGTCCCATGTAGTACAGGCTAGCCCTGAACTCATTGTGTAGCTGAGGATGACCTTGAACTTCTAATCCTCCTGCCTCTACCTCCCATACCTGATGTATATGGTGTCTGGGATGAAACCCAGGGCTCTATGCATGCCAGCGCCCACTCTACCTCACAAGCCCAGCACCAATTCCTGTATTCTTTTTGTTTGGTTGCTTGGGTTTTTGTTGTTGTTGTTGAGAGGGGGGTCTCTCTACATAGCACTGACTGTCCTGGAATTCCTTATGTAGACCAGGCTGGACTTGAACTCTGCCTCCCGAGTGCTGACACTAAAGACGTATGCCACCGGCTTATTTCACTTTATATAAGACCAAAGTTTCATTGTGTAGCCCAGGCTGGCCTTGACTCCATGGTAGTGCTCCTGCCTCAGCCTCGAGTGCCGGGATCACACACGTGAGCCACCATGTCAGATGGACAAACAGCTCTGCCCTGGCCCCCCTGTGCGGCTAGCAGCCCTCCCTTTGATGTGGCACAGGGAACCCTCTGCTATTCCCGGCCTGGCCGCACAGCCCTACACCAGGTCGGCAGGGGGGTGGAGCCAAGGCAGAAGACATGGTGGGGTCAGATAAGGTGCAGGCTGCCCTTGTGAGGGACCCTCACGCCCACTGCTTCTACCAGATCCAAGAACCAGCCTGGGACCCCGTCCATGCCCTCTGGCCAGCCCTGCCGCCCACCCCTGGGCTCTGTGTCCTGGCCTGGCCCTGCCTGTCAGGGCCTCTTCACCCTACCCCAGCTCTCCCTCCTCCCAGCCTCACTGGTCTCAGCCACTCTGCCCTGGCCCTGAGTCCTCCTGGCCTCCTGAGCACCCTTGCCTGGCAGCCCACATGGCCTGGCCTCCAGGGGCTGTGAGGGCAGAGACCCCTCCCTGACACACCCTGAGTGCTCTCTCATGTCCGTCCAAATCTGACCTCTCCCTCTA